AATAAATAAATAAATAAATAAATAAATAAATAAATAAATAATGGCTGAAGTTTCAACAGTCACTTTTTGGGAGTCTACAACTAATCTGGTCTAGATTTAAGTTGAACAAAAATGTCAAAGTTTAAATTTAAAACCTACACAAATATTCAATACAAGTGCATTATAACCAAAACTATGAATTCTGGCTAATAAATTAATATAAGTGAAATATTTCCATTTTTTCAATACTACTTCCAGTCAGATCTTTGAAAAGAAAAATAGAAATTCCAACATGCCTATCACATACACAGCTGTGCTCATTCTGATAGAAAATGGCACACAAATGGGGGAAATCACTTGTTGATAAAACAATGAGAAGACGTTATGACAACTTCAAATATGAAGCATAAACCTTTGCCTTGATGACATTAAAATGAAGACGTAGATGCATATCTTAGTTTCAAGTGAAATGTTGGAATGCAAAAAAAATAATGGGAATATACTTTTATTGGAATTCTACTACACTTCGTCTTGACTAAGTTTAAATGTCTTGTTTTAAAATGTATTTTTACATAAATGGAAATAAAATTCCAAAAAGATCAAATAAACCTAAAGACTTGCTTTAATTTACTGTCAAACCATTTACTTTCTAAATGAAATAAAATGATCACCTTACCGAAGTATCAATGTTTTCATCCAAATTTAGATTCTCTAAGTCTAATTCCAGTTCGTCTTCAATTTCTTGTGTTTTTTGTTCACTAGAGGGAGCCACAGGAGGAGCAGCAGTGGGTGCTGGTTTGGGCGGACTTGGGGCACGTTCTTGACCTAATCCACTCTCTACCATGTCCCGGAGACTTTGCTGGGCTTCTGATGCTGACTGGGAGTCTTGGAAATCGTCATCATCCTCATCATCATCTGCGCCCTCTGTTCTTGGGGGTACGTAAGTGAACTTCCCAGCCTCTTCGGCGGCTTGCATCTCTTCCAAAGCATTACGCTCATGGTTTGGCTGGAAAGAAAATAATGTCATTAGTTTACATTTCAAATACTTGTTCACTAATGTCACAAAAGCTTAGGCACACACAAATATCCACACTAACTTTGGAAGTTCCAAATTTCTGTCAGCACACCCACACTCGCACAAAATTTGACATGTTCCAAATGTTTTCTGACAACAAACTCTCTCACAGACACACATACAGGAACTTGTGTGTACGTTTCAAATAGTTTCTTACACTGCACACCTATATTCAGGTGTGCCATGATGACACACAAATAGCACATAGCATGCATGCACACACGCACATGCATATATGGCCAGCATACTCTCACACACACACACACACACACAAACACACAAACACAAGGCATGCATACTCACAAATACAACAATCACACACACACACACACACACACACACACACACACTTACAGGCACTTGTGTATAAGCCCCAGCTGGTATCCTGACCCCCCTCTGTCTCTTCAGGTACTGCTCTGCCTTGAACGTGTCCCTCAGTCCTGGGAACAAATTCTCGTACTCTGTGGGGTCAGCCAGGGAGGCTGCAGCCTTCTTATTGATTGTGGACAGGTGCTCCCTCCATAGCTGGACCACCCTGGAATATAGTCAGATGTAAGTTTTTTTTTCCATTTTACAATTCAAGCTCCTTGATTCAAGAATCTAGATCTTAAAATTTGATTTTTTTAAATATCACTTTTTAAAAATCGCATGTTCTCATCTTTGGTGATTTTAAACTAGTTTTTGTTACAAGTAGGTAGATTTGAAAGCTAGATTTTTCTGCTTGTGTAGTGAAGAATGCCAAATTTTATTTTTTTCAGATTTTGGTCAATTTTGAATTCTAACTTCAAAGAAAGGATAGAAATGGTGAACAAAAATTTTAGAAAAAATTTTCTTACCTGGATATTTGGCTTGGTAAATAGGTCCTGGCAAAGAAAGCAGCCTCTGGTAACCTTCCTGTGCTGATGAGAACTTCCAGGCACTCCTCCAGTCTGGAAGATACAGCCACAAACATACAATATTTCAAATTTAGTCCACTATAGTGCATATCTATTCTGTACAGACAAATATGTAAAAACTAACCGTGTAGAGAGCCTGTAAAATGGGACAAACTTTTCATCAAAATTTACTGAAGTATTAAAAAACCAAAATATCAATTAAAGCTTATTTTGATGATATTGTAAATTGATTAAAATCCACGTACTTTCCAAGTGCAAAATATGACAAAAACGACACATTATTCTGCCCTGAGGCACGTGCCGTTTCTCCGAGTTTCTGGACCATCTCGGTATTCCCCGCTGAACTGGCCAATAGGAGGAGTCCGCCGAAATCCTGGGCCTGGTGAAGACATTCCTGCGCCAGGCCGAACTCACACTTGGAGGTCGCGAGCTCTGCCAGCTGCTTCCATTTCTGTTCAGACTAAAATTAAAGTTTTTACATAGATAATTTTAATATCAGCAAACAGTTAATATCTTTTTTTGTTTGAACTGGGATTTAGCATTGAAAATTATAGTATTCAGCAAGCAGATTCCGTCTTAGCTTGAACTAGAATTTAGCTTATAGAATGATATTATTAGCAAGCATTTTCCATTTTTGTCAGACTAATTCAACACAGTGAATTTAAAGTTTGTAATCAAGTTGAGTCGATATATATACACTTTGAAAAATATAAATGTGTTCTACAATTAAAAATGTCACTCAAAATATGATTAATATGACTGTGCCCAGCTGAAACCCTTCAAACAGAACTAAGAGGACTTTGAAATTCAGCTTTTGCATTACATTAACATTAAAGAACTTAAAAGACTCACTTCCGACTCCTTAGCTATCTGATACGATGTTTTCAAGTCTCCTAGCCCCAGTGACAGCTCAAACTTGTGTTCAGGGTCTGTGGTCACTGCCAGGGCCTGACTTTTAAAACCCTGGAATGGTCGAGACATAATATTGTTACTGTGTGAGCACCTTGAACAAAGACAACAGACAAAATTAATATTTATTCTTCTTGAATGAAATATCCTTCGTATTAATCTTCTTATTATATCAATGAAAATCTTTTTTTTTTAGGATTGAAATTTTAGGAATGACAGTACTTGAACAGCAACTGCCATAGAGCACAGAAAAATCTAAAACACAGTATAACCTTTCAAAACATTTCTTTCATCAAAGACTGCAACTTTGCCAAGAAAATTAGCCCAGAAACTTCACCAAAGTATCATTATAATAATATTCAGCATGGAGAAAAAACCGAACACACATTTTACCTGTTTTTCTAAGAAGTGTGCCACACGCGTTCTCTGTTCCCTAGGGATTGTGGGTAGCACCTTGTCTGCTGTGTCGAAGTCTCTCCTCATCACTGCCGTCTGGTACTCCAACACAGACAACAGCAGGGAGAAGCTGACCACATTTAACTCTTTGTCCCCCAGGTACAGGCGGTTGTCCTTTGGAATGTAACCCAGGAGATACATGACCCTGGTGTGGAAGGTGAGGGGTTAATTTATTTATATATTAAATGTATCTTTTATTTCAAACTGTATTAGATTTCAGAAATATACAATACAAACACTAAGCCTAAATGCCACTTTCATTCACTCAACTTACAAATATTAAATGTAACTGACTTATAAACTGACAGAATGATTTAATTTCTAGAAGGAGAAGTGTTTCTTCTTAATTTTGTTTAAAAAAGAATAAAACACAGTGTAAGTGTTTTGCTAAATTAACCTGGGTGTCAAATAATTCCATTTTGAAAGCAATAAGCACATACAGAAGAAACTGAAAATATCATGACAATAATCAGAGTACCCTACACTAGGAATGCAAAGATTTGTGGTCTGAGCAAACTTACTGATCATAACTGACAGACTCTCTTACCAGGTGAGAGTACAGGTGTGGTGTTGAAGAAGAGCCAGATATCCCACTGAACACTAAGAACACCTACCTGTCCAGGTGAGCAATGGTGACTATTTCACCTCCTACGTAATAATTCAGTCTGTTCACACTGTTGGTGTAGATAAAACAGTCTCCGACCCAGAGTCCTGTTCTCACTGCCTCTTCCACCTCACCAAGAACCTGCAGGTGTGAAAATTGATTTTTTAGCATTCATATTCTCATAAAAGGTTAAATATTAGTTACAGTATAATTAAAGGTGGCAAGTCACCGAAGCATTATAAAATTGATAATTGCAAACATTCACATGGGCATTACTAAGTGTAATTGAAAGCGAGAAGGGAGCGTGTAAGGGTACATATATGGGGTTGAAATTCTGAAGTGTATATGTTACTGAGCAGTTGCTACAGATATACTTTAAATGATAATATATTTCAAATTGTGCAAAGTGAAAGTAGCTTTAAGAGAGTGTAAACTTTTCAATGTTAGCATGACCGTTTCACTGCCTCAGAGAGAGAGAGAGAGAGAGAGAGAGAGAGAGAGAGAGAGAGAGAGAGAGAGAGAGAGAGAGAGAGAGAGAGATTTCTCACATCAAAGGCATCCTCTATGCCGTCCTCAGTAATGGACTCTGGGTTCTCCTTGGCCTTCATCACTGCCTCAGCACTGTACTTGAGGATGAAGAAGGACTCCTCTGTGGCAATACACACCAGCTCTCCACTGTCATTCCAGTAGATCTGGAACACATGACATGACATGGCATGACACAATATAGCATAAAAAACATGACCTGAACATACTGTATGACATGACATGGCATGACATTTGACATGACATTCACATTAGCTACCATAACATTTAACTGTATCTTATATACCATGAAATAACATAAATCGTATTTTCCCCTTCAATGACCTTATCTAACATCACTAAACACAACTTGATGCAACAGCAAAGTGCTGTTATTTATCCATAGCAAAAGAACAAGTTAAAGCACTGTGATTAATTGTCCAGCTGGTCAGGGTTTTTAACCACCCCAGGTTAAGCACTTACATGTTTAGGTGTGATCTCTATCCTCCTGACCAGGTCATTGCTGTCCCAGTCGTAGAAGGCCAGTCCACTCACTGACCTCACCCCCATCATGTGACCTCCATACAGACCTAGAGAACACAATGAACAGGTAAAATAAATTTTGATTAAGTAAACAAATTGCATCAGATAAGGGATTAAGTCCTGAAAATAGGTTTACTCTGAAGGTTTTTTATTTTGTGATTTCCATCATAAACTGAACTGTCAAATCTTGCATAACAGAAATACAGTTCTCTTTTTTTTTTAATCTTTAGACCACTTGACCTTCGGTTTAAAATTGTTTTGTTTACAAACATCTAATGATGATGTTTACAAACATCTAATGATGGAAAGCCTGACCAGCCTGCAAAAAGTACAGAAAAAGTTATTGCTTTAATTTCTACTTCAACATGACTTTAAGGTGACAGCACAAGACCATCCCAAGACAAGCCACACTCACCTTCAGCACCAAAATCTGGCTTGAATGATTTTATCTCTTTGAAATTCTTGAAGATCTTCACCATGCTGCTGCCTTCTCTGGTGGCGTACATGGAGGAGTCATTACTCCAGACAAACTCCTGTGCTGAGCCGAAGCTTTTGTTACGCAGTGCCATGGCAGTGTATATGATGTATTCACCATCACCGCATACAGTTACAAACCTTAGAAATAAATAAATAAATAAATAAATAAATAAATAAATAAATAAATAAATAAATAAATAAATACTTCATATTCAAAATTTTGTCTTATGTAATTCACAAGAACACAGGTATGGAGTACATCTGATCCTGTGACCTCATAAAGGATTTCAAGCACTAAAAATTAAAAGAGGGATGTAAAGAAAAGAGGTCCTTTACCTTCCATTAGGATTATGCGCAATATTCTGTGGATAGATCTCGCAGCTTCCCATATCTTTCACCGCCAGGGGGAGCCTCTCTCCATCCTTAATCTCCTGGTCACCCATGGCCTTAATGTTGGCTTGCTGGATCTCCGCGTGTTTGGCCCAGATTATCTTCCCATTCATGTCCATAGACATGGCTGGCTCCTCTCTACCCAGCTAAAAATTATGAAATAAATGAGATTTATTTTATCTATTGATTTTCTATTTACACCTGGGAATATTATACATCATTGTCTGTGAACATGAACAAATAATTTCAAAGAGGGGTGGGGAAGTTTAAACTATGGGGGCAGTAAATTTTTTTTACATTGTCATCATCATATACTGATTGAATAATCAATAACCTAAGTGTTTCTACAGAAAAGCACATCTTTCCAAACTTTTTCCATTTTTACCATATCTCACTTTTTCCAATGGCCCAGACTAACCTTAATAATAATGCTGCCTTCATCATACCCCAGGGCTACATTATTGGAACCCTTCTGGCAGGCAATGGCCCAGACTCTCTCCAGACCATAGTTCAGAGTGCTCTCCAGTCTGTAGGTGTTAGCATGCCACACACGTACCGTACCTGATGGGAGAGACACATTTGAAATGTAAATAATGTGCACATGCGTATTGTGTAGTAGTTAAGATACTTTCTGTCTACCAAATAATAATAATGCTTGCTGTATTTCAAATGAAAACAAAGATTTTAATGTGCAGATTATTTTGTAGTAATAAAACAGAGAATATACTTCTCGATTCATGTACTAAAGTTCGTTATCTGTGTGTGTGTGTGTGTGTGTGTGTGTGTGTGTGTGTGTGAGAGAGAGAGAGAGAGAGAGAGAGAGAGAGAGAGAGAGAGAGAGAGAGAGAGAGAAAGAGAGAGAGTGAGTCTAACAAGGACAATACTGACCATCCTCAGAGCCGGTCAGTATGATGGGCAGTTCAGGGTGGAAGGAGACACAGGAGATGTTTTGTGCGTGGCCCTCCAAAGTCTGGACACAGGTCTTGTTCTGGAACAGGATCAAAAATATGAAAAATGGTTTTAAAAAAATAGTAAGTAAACAAATATTTTAACAATGAACACAAACTGACATAAAAAAACAAATGTTTATAAAAACCAAATAAGAGAAAGATAAATGTCAAATGTCTCAATGACGTTTTTACCTGGTAGTCCCAGATCTTCACCTGTCTGTCATCAGCCCCAGAGATGAGGTAAGGTTTGTCACCCCCAGTGTAGTAGTCAATACAGTTAACCCCCTTCTCATGGCCCTCCAGGGTAAAATTAGGCATAGGGGAACCCAGCTGCCACACCTGAGGTAGACAATAGAGCAAATCCACTGTAGATTATAAAATTAATATTACTTGTGTTAAGATATGACAAATTTTATCATTTTACATTCATTTCTAGTGAGATGTTATCCTTTGGGTTTATAATTTTTTCAACTTGAAAACTATTAGTCTAAAAATCAGATCTGTTATCCCTTCTTGTATGATAGTACATGTCCCTGATTGAGTTCTGGAATGTCATATACAAACAAAACACATACACACACATGCACACTCAGGCGCAGACACACAATAAACATCACAATCACCACGGCAACCACCATTTACCTTGACCGTCCTGTCCAAGGAGGCGCTGGCAAACTGGTTGTTGTCTTTGGGGTTGATGACAATCTGCATGACGTAGTGGGTGTGTCCCTCAAATACCTGGGTACACGTCCACTTCTTGTCCCAGTCCCACAACTTGATCAACATGTCATCTGGAGAGAGAGAGACGACAATATTCTAAAATCTCGTTTGTCGTAAATTTTTATTTATATCATCATTTATCTGTCTACGATGTATAGCCTGTGAGTCTAGGCAACCGACTTGTAGATTTGACTTCAGACTTGTGGTTGCTTTGTGAGAAAACTAGTTTGCTTATTTGGACAATATTCATCAATATCTAGAGACAATATTTGAGGTTTCTGTTAACAGTCTACAACATTAAACACTGAGCATATGTCTGTGAATGAAATTCTCTCTATTTGAATATCAGCAATCAGTTTCTAAATGATAAGTGTTACACAAGGTTATCGCAAACCTTTAACCACTTTCTACTACAAAGATTTCTGTTGTTCATGAGTGTATTTTGTATACCCAGCCTACAGAGAGCATAACAGAAGTCATAATGATTAATTTTAGTACTCACCACTAGATGTCAGTATGTATGGCTGGGTGGGGTGCACAGCGATGCACCTGACGTAATCCGAGTGGGCTTCGAACTGATGCACCCGTTCCAGCGTGTTGTAGTTGAACACTCGCACCTGCATGTCGTCAGAGCCCGTGATGACCCAGTTTTTTCTTGCAACAAAGCATGCAGCACGCACTGGCTGGTCACACACTTCAAATGTCTTGATTAAGGTCTGAAATTTTAAGGTAATTTTCTTTAAAGGGCAGCCAAACTTACTAAACTGATAAAAAGTAATCAAATATACTTAACAGCCATATTTATCGTTCCTTTCATAAACTAGGTTTAAACACTGTCTTTTGTGTAATAATGGTAAGAAAATAAATTGTTTCTGAAAAGAGACTAATATTTTTTTACTGATGGCACAGACTAAAGGGCCTTGATCACACGGCTAATTTGTCTGAAACTCATGATTGGGCCAAATAATGATGACCCTTTCATGAATGGTTGAAAAAGCAGAAAATACTGTATGAACAAACTACCAAGTTTATGAACATTTCTGCTCACATCTTGTTTTCTCACCTGTGACTCATGATTCCACACATGTACATTTCCATTATATAAACTAGCTAACATCCATGGTTCAGTAGGGTGAAGGTCTACACTTTTCACTCGGTCTGATCGAGCTGAAAGCTTCCTCTTTATGTCCAACCGAAGGGGCTGAAAGAATATAATTGTGATGTTTTGTGATGTACCATATAGAATGAATACAGACAAAATTGTATTAATTAAATGTAGAAAGAATTTAACAATATAAGGGTGACACTTGTGAATTTAGAAAACACATATATATATATGGAGGTAGACATGTTCTATATCAAAGGATTATGGTTAAGTATATATACTTAGTATTTTTTTTAATAAATATACAATGCGAAATATTGCATTAAAATTTATAAAGTATGTTTAAGGCACTGTGAAACAGTAGATGTATTCTTAAAATTTGACAGTGAATGAAAACCATGTGAGATTGCAACAATATTGAGTCACTGAAATATGAATATCCACACTATAAATTCAGTTACGGGGCGCTTGCCATTTCAATACAAATAAATTAATTAAAAACAAATCGTGTCTTACCATACTATCGTCTTTACTGGGCTTAGCAGATACGCGACTAAAACGTTTAACTATATAAAACAAACACTTAAACCCGACTAGCCTCTTGAAATATTGGCAGAACAAGTGTCAGTCTTGGCAAGGAGTCCTTATTTTGCCGGCGAGTGTGTTGAACAGTCGATCAAAACGCTCGCAGTATCCAATGTAGTGCGCCGCAAAACACTACATATCCTAGATCGTATTGTACAGCGACTTCACAAACGAACTAGACATGAAAATGTCTTTAATTACAATGTTAATGCCCTTAAAATGTTAGTTTCTTACCATTGTGCCGTGTTGGAGGAACCTACGTGGACCTTTGATTGCGCTTGCGTGGTAGGTCGATCTCGGAACCTACCCGATTTTCTCGTAGGAAGTCACATGACTTCGTACATTCCAAAATGGCCGGGAAATTATGAGCTTTGTTTTCAGTGACAACCGTGGGTTTCGGTCAACATTGTTCGCATAACTTGAAGCAGTTTGGCGTGTTTTAACTCAAAATTCACCGTTGCATACTTCAGTATATTGTTAATTGATAGTCTAGCTGATTGACTTCCACCTTTTAATTATTTTAGAATATTGACGTCAGGAAGATGTGATTGTGAACCACGGAGGCAGAAGTGTTGATTGATGAGAGTCTTTTAACACTGAAAAGATAACTTTTATGTCTCTGATGTCTGACTTACCGTGACCCTCTATTATGGCAATCAGTGGCATAGTTCCAGCGCGATTTTTGACGCTCATAGCGCACCTGGTGATCACGATTACCATTTTCTGGTCCAGGGTAAGACATGTACATGTAGCTTACAGGTGTACTTTTTTTTTTTCAAAGTTGCAGTCCCCTTTTTTATCTTTGATTTGTCAACATTTGATGAATTAACCAGGGTGTGGTTGAATAGTTTAGAGAAAAATAGACGTAAAGTAGCGTCAACAGTAAAACAAGTTTTACTACTGAAATAATTTCTTCATTAAAATGTGCAGTTTCAGTAAATGTAAGTACATACATGTATTAGTACAGTGACTCTATGATTATTAAGAAAATATTATTTGGTGGATAATGTGAAAATTCTTTCAAGATAAAGAAAACTAATAAATATATATTGAAAATTACTTTTTTTATTTCTTAAAACTTGAAAGTTTTCATTTATTTATTTATTTATTTATTTATTTTTTTCAGGATGAAAATGTGAAGTCATGTTTACCGATACAATACAGTCCAGATGCATACACTGCAAAAGACACAGAGTAAGTTATGCAGGAGATGTTTTGTTTTTCTGAATTACAGGACTATCCGGAGCCCATAAGATTTAATTAAAAAGAGGGCTTAAGTTAAGGTATTTTACACTGTGAAAGGTTGATTGAAAGTAAGTAATATATTTATACTTTAAAAAGTAAAAAAGTTTAGTATTTTAGTATTACATATATTAATTCAACTTACATAATAATTTTGCAGGGCTCTTCAGTGTGTGTGTTGCTATTTACATTCAACTTTTTAAATTTGACACGTGGAATTATTTGAATCAGTTTTTATTTTATTTTGCGTTATATTTGGTAACAGGAGCTCCAGGTTTTCCATCACCCCTGTAAACTTCTCAGGACATAAATATCAGCAACTTTTATATTTTTATTTTCCAGGTTGATAGTGGCACTGTCTATAACAATGGCATTCTTTGCCCTGGAGTTGGTGGGGTTCCTCTCTGGCTTCAGCATGTTCATGTACACACAGGGGATGATCTGTATCCTTGATTGTGCTTGTCACAACCAGAATGCTTCTCTAACACAATGATGCTCACATTTTGCTGGGTGCTTATTTTTGCCCTTTTGTGATTTTGAGATATATCATCACTAAGGCTCTATTCCCATAGATTTTAGATCGATCTATCCCCGCGGGGAGTCTCACTAGATTACTTTCAGATAATCCGACTTAAATGTCCGTCCCGCCTACTACAAGCTGTAAGGGGTAATTAACTTTCGTGTCCGCCCGGCTGACAGCTATTTAGCGTGAACCCCCAGGGAGTTAGGTCGATCTAAAGTAGGTCGATCTAATCTATGGAAATGGGATGTAAAACAGTGCTCACTTTTGGTGTGCCTTCATTACATACCACTTATGAAAGGATATTGAATGCACCATGAAATGACAATGTTAATGAAATGGGAGATTTTTACAATAATAATTGCTGAATAAAATTAGCAAAGTACTTTCCCTTGGCTTAGTTGTCTGAATGATTATTTTCATTGTTAGTAGTAGCATTCATTCATTAATGTAATAATCTTAATTCTTTTAACTTGTCATTTCATCTCTAGCAGTGTAAATGTCTTCACATGTTTGAGCAACTTCGAGAACAGATTAATTCTGTTTTTAAAATGTTTTTTACTCAGTATGTGCAAAATTTTAAAAATAACCTTGACTCATCCAATCAGCAACTGCAGCCCATGCAAGTGCGGCTGTAACTCTCGCGTACTTCCTGTTTGACGCCTGGCCATGTGACAACTACTGGTATGTGTTTGGTTTCTGCAGCGCCTTCCCCGCTGTGACAGAGCTCATAGTGCTGATAGGTGTGCTCTGGCTGGGCTGGGGCCCATGAGGCGTATTCACACCAGGCCTACGTTGGACCGATTTGGATTGATTGACATCACAGGACCAGGATAGTTAACATGGAATTTAAAGATTTTAAACTGGGCTGATGTGGGGGGTCTCTGTGCAATAAGTTCAGTCACAGTGGACCTTGACCTCTCATACACTTGTCAGTGCATTAATATAATCTGTATTGAAATGCTGTTGGTGCTAAAATGGAATCTGCCACTGGGCATGTCTTAGCAACTTAACTACTTAAGTCAAGCCCAGACCCATAATTTGGTTTTATCTTGGGTCTGAGTAGACTAAAATTGTAGTCTTAAAAGATTTAGCTAACTTTCTGACTGAAGTCCTTTTGCTAAATGGGCCAGAGTTCAAGTTATAGTACTGGTGGTTCAAGACATGGTATGGAACTATGATGTAGTTTGAATTTTGTCTTACCGGTAATGGCATGAAAATATTTTCTGTGTTAATATTGGTGGATTTTTAGAATGCATTTCTGGGGCAGTGTTAAAACTCGCCAATTTAGCCAAATGCTAAAAGCGACTTGAACTGGCTAAACTAAATAGGGTTAATTTGACTCGTTTTAACTTTTAGTAAAATTTAATCCACCTGGAAATAAAAGAAGCAATTTGGTAAAGGGAAAAAATTGCTGGTGCTACCCCAGCATTTAGTCCAAAACCTCCCTTACATGGCAAAGTGGAAACTGTAGTAGCCAGTACTCATAGCTTATTAAGATGAGCCCAGGGTGGATCATCCATGAAAACTCCAGTGACTCACATGAGGGGCACAAAAAAGTCTTGCAGATGTTAGAAATTTATGAAATTCATTTGTATGTGTGATTTTTCAGGAGCTTTGAATTTGTTCCCAGTATTTTGTATTTTACAGACATTACATTTTTTTTAGCAGATGTGTTTTCCACATAATTACTTTGAAAGATTGTAAATAAATTTTCTGGTAGATTGTAGAGTGGGTGCTTGCAGTACTAGTATAGTTATTCACTTTTCATTTTCTTACTGAATTGAAACAGAAATTAATTTATCATAATAGAGAGTACAATATTCACTGAAAAGTGAATTGATGTTTGGATAATTTGATGGAGTTTGAAATAATAAAATGGACATTTATGTTAAAACAAACTTTATTTTACTTCTTAAATGTACCAATCCTCAATGTCTTGATAAAATGTACTTGGCATAAACAAAAATAATGGAGAAGAGTAACTCTGATTTTAAATGTTGATAAAAGAAAGTTGTCAAAGTAACAAATAAAATTGGTCCATAATAAGCCACAAAAATATGAAAAGTTGAAATCTTCAAAATATGGGACCAACTACTTCACAATCAACCCCCCAAGATAAAGTAATAAAACACTTTTTCCACCAACAGCAACTACAACTTGAAGAAGTTCAATACTTTTTTATGAAAACTCAAGTGACCATTGATAATTTTGATGCAGACAGCACACTCAGACTCTTACAATCTGCACTCTACCACCCCACTGCAGTGCCATCTATCTTTCGAAAATGAAGTCCTATGTGAATCTGATTCATGACACAAAGCACAGGGGAAACTTGTGTCCTTTCTTTGGTTTAAACACACTGTTGACTTCTACAAGTCCTCTTGTTTACAGCTTTGTACACCAGTAATGGAAATATTTTTAAAAGAAAAGGAAGACCAGATCATGTGAGCTTGTTTCTAGTTCCACACACAGCCTTGTGGCCATTTTTCCAGGCTTTCATTTGGCAGTCCTTGCTACAGTAAACCTCGTCGCACTTTTCGCAACGTTTCAGTTTGTCTCCGTCTCCTTCTAGACACACACAGCACCGCTTAACTATGTCATACCCGTACTTCATTCTGTATTTGTAAAACATCTGAAAAGAAAAAAGATTCGAAGTCTGGTTGTTATACTTCATTATAATTTTACCACGTTGGTTGAAGGAAAATCACTCGTACTTTTGTTGTTTTTTAATGGTTTACACAATTGGAATATACATACATATATTCAGAAAACCTTAAAGAATATTGCTGTATGAAACAACTTCCTTTTAGTTGATATTTTATACAGAACATCCATAATTACTTTTCAAACATCATTTACATTGGTGAAAAATTAAACTGACTTGTACAGAAACTAAGTTTTTTTTAACCAAAGCATGACTGACTCACCACTATAAAGGGTCAAAAGGTAAAAAGAAAGTTTAGTCTATAAACATATGACTTACAAACCAGTCAACATTAATGAAACCATGAAACACTTATTTCACCATAATTTAAAACTCATATGACATAACTTATCTGTAGTTACCTTATCAAACAAATCTCTAAACATCTCATCTTCTTTGTTTTTGATGATACAGTATCCGACGTCGTGAAGCCCCTGCTGGTAGTACTCCAGCTCATAAAGGGCTCTCGCTCGACGGAAAACGGACTTCAGACGTAAAGTTTTTGCTTCTTCCAACTCTAAAAATTAAAAAAAATTGTTTATGCTTAAAAAATCTTAAAACATTTTGCAGGGTTAAGTATTGAAATGATCTTAGCTTTAAATCAAAAACTTAGGCCAATAATATTTTTGGCTCCCAAAAAGTCAGAAATGTGCTGATACTAGCTGGAAAAATCTTATCCCTGTCCACCTCTATTCTGTCCCTGTCCCTTACCTTCCATACACCTGACAATGGTCAGTGTGACTAAGCAGGCCTTTAATCCCCTTCCCACCCACCCCCCTCTAGGCCAACTTACCCCCTTACCCCCATAACCCCTCTATAACCAGCTCTGTCCCTCACCTTCCATACACCTGGCGATGGCCTGGTTACAGTCCTCAAGGGCACTCTCATACTCCCCTAGGTGCAGGAAACACTGGGCTCTGTTGCTGTACAGGGCTGCAGGAAGCTTGTACCTGGAGAGTGAGAGATGAGAACAAGGTTTTAACTGGAACAGGTACAAGTGTTTTTAATTAAGTCATTCACCAGGAATTTGGAGGCCTGGATGTAATCCAACAACCTGTACAGAAGATGTGTGGGGACGTGAATGATTGCCTTCTAGTATTCTCTCTCTCTCCTTATAAATGCACATAGACAGGGGAATTTGGAGGTACAAAAGAAACATCCTTTTGGTTGGCAAAGGTTCTCTGTGAATAGAAATATTTAGGTTCTATGTCCCTCTTCAAGCTGGGTCAGTTAAAAAAGTCTACTTTTCAGAAAAAAGGACCCCCAGCCTGATGCAGCATATTCTACCCGTACAGTGTTGGCATGGATGCATTTCAATGTGTTCGTGTGTATACTTTAAATTTGCCTATGTGTATGTACACACACACACACACACACACACACACACAAACACACACACACACACACGTAGCTACGTACCAGATTTTGTCCAGTGCTGGCCCAGGACTGCCCACTTGACCACTACTGCAGCCTTTGTCCAGGTGGTCTGGGTGAAGCTTGGTACACACTGGACGTTTCTGGCTGGGAGGACAGAAGTCTATGGCCTGGATACAGTAAGTATTAAGGTTGAACTTTTAAGAATATGAACAATGACATAGAAATGCGTATGTGTGTGCATGTTTGTAAGCATGCATGAACGCATGCGTGACATATATTCATATTGGGTGGCTGTCCTAAACTAAATACTAAAGTGAAGAAAATTCTTACACGATGGCAATTTTTCAAAATTCTAGATCGTAAAAACATTTCTAGAGATAACATTATTATAATTTAATTAACTGAAAATAATGCCTTGTATGGTTTTCATCAATGTCTGGAAACATGACGCAATCGTGTTGAGTTGATTCTATCTCACTTCTACTGAGATGTTATGGAGTTAAAAACTGTATTGTAACATTGACTTAAAGTTATGAGAGTGAATACAGGTCAGGTTGTGTGTGTGAGGGGGGGTGTGTGACTCCTGATGGATGAAACAGCAGTACAAATGTACCTGTGAGTAGTAATTCTGTGCTGTTTCATAATCCTTTTCTCTGAAGCACGCATTGCCTTTATTCTTCAGTTCCGTGGCTTTGTTGATATCAAAATCATAATTCAGCTTGGAGAGTTCTGCCTCCGACTTTTTCCAATGACTGAAAAAGTGAAAGAACTGTTATCAAAACTCTAGTTCTCAATATATATGGTCACATCTATTGTTAATCATTCATGTTTTATAATAGAAAATTAATTTAGATGGACTTCTGTCGATTGCTTCCATGTCTCATCTAACACAATGAGTTTACCCATGATGACCTCTACATAGATATTTTTCTTTCTCACATTGTGTAGGCCGATTTCTATCACACACAATGAAGTTGCCAAAAGTCAAACAGATCAAAAAGAAATACAATAACAACTATCTACCAAATCTGCATTAAGAGATAAAAAAAATCATAACTGCACCAAAATGCAAATGTGCATCATTATATATTCTAACACTGGGTTATTACATATTCCAAAATATTTAAAAAACCCTACCTCCCAGTGGCAGTTTTCATATTTCTCTTTATGTCTCTCAGTGTTGTTCCATATAAAGACTGAAAAAGAGATAAATATGGATAAATATTTACCGAGACTATTATTACATGCTATTTCCTCAAAAAAACAGTAGGCGTTTCCACTGACACAACGGCAAGTAGATATAAATTTCCCAAGAGGAGGATTAATGACAAAATCATCAATCTTACACAACTAAAAATTAACTCAGTTCACTCAATTACTTTTACAAGCAAATTTGTTCCCCGAGCAACTGAACACTGGAGGAAATGGCCAGCTAGAAAATGAACTAAAAGCTTACGAAGCTGTGAAACAAAATTACAAACAAGCCACAAGAGGACGCAAGACCTCAAGCTTAAAAGTCGAAATGCAGAGTGCTTCACACATTTGTCATTGTTAGCAAAACCGGGGAGAATAAGGGGTGGCGATATCCGTCTTGCAGAAACATTATTTGTTTTACTGAAAATTGCCCAATACTAAAAGAGGAGACCCATAGCTTGGGGGGGGGGGGTGAATGAACTGTCCTTTTTGCTGGGAAAACTCTGAGTAAAATTTTCACTCGGTGAGGTCAACTTATTCAGAAAAAGACCTCCCTCCCCTTGGAAATTGTTCTGATTTGTCCAGCTGAGTGATACCACAGAATTCTATTAGTTCCCTGTTGAATATCATATCACAATGTTGGATCATTGCTGCATTATTTCCAAAGTCGAACATTTTATTTACTTGAACAAAATTTTTCTCTTATATTACCCACTGTTCCACTCAATTTTATCCGTTGTTTCCCTTTGTTTGCTGGTGCTTTTCCGCAATCATAGCAAAGCAACCAAATCATCAGGGGTGTTACGTCAGTAATAATAACCTGACTACAGACGGATAAGTGGCCTGGAATTTTGTATCAGCTTACACCAGATATTGCTAAGAACAACTGGTCTATGTAAGGCAAAGCGTGTTCATATCTTAAAATACACATTTTCATGACAATTATAAAACCAGAATTAAGGAAACAGAAGCAGAACCATAGTAGGCTAATCACATTGATTTGATTAACCCACAAATCCAATAATTTTTTTTTCATCACAAAAAGTTCATTGATTTTTCTCATCACAGAAATTCTTTGTGAGCAATTATAGGCAATTGTCATTTACTGGTTTACTGTTAACTGATACTAAATGCACATTAATGAAAAGATGAATTAGAGTACATAATCATTCACAGAACTACATGAGGTCGATTTTTCCCCTTTGTTTTTTCTTTTTTTATTCGTTGTGTTGAAATTTGCCGGGACACGCACTGACAATCTAACATAACAAAACACTAAAAAAGATGAAAACATCAGTCTGTTAATTTTCTATTGAATCTGCTAGGATCCGTCTGGCAAATATGTAAATAATGACAAAAGACCTCTCCACCAGTCAGATATCAATCAATTTTCCCAACAGCTGACGTGTAACCCAGGCACCACTGCCACTCTCACTCCCATTTCATCTCTCCACGGTGCAATTTAGAAAGATTAATTCCATTTTCAGGGATGCTTAGGGCAAAGAATTGCTTAAAAAAAAAGGAGGACCACTCTTTTGAAGGTCCTCTCTCTCACTCTGTATTTTTTCTTTTTCTTTTTTTTTTTTTTTTTTGGGGGGGGGGGGGGGGGTTTTTTATTAAACCCAAAAA